TGGCGATGGGAGGGAGTGTTGGTAGCTGGTGGTGAAGCTTCCCTCACTTGGTAGGCGAAATTCCAGCGTCAATGGGCTCGTCGGCGCGGAGGCATGTCGCGTGAATGATCTGAAAAGGCGCGACTTTGGGTTTGCGGTGACGATATGCGCTTCAGATACAGCGGCTGGCATCTTTGGTGTGGTAGCGGCTGGTGTTCGGGTACCAAGGAGATGTGACGAGGGTTGCATATAATGGTGGTACTACAAAGAAGGTGAGACAAAGAGATGGTCTCAGGTGTGGACGTTAATATGTACAGCCAGCAAACGAGTGTGCTGTTTGAATGTGGGGTTCAACCCTGGGTGACTGTCTGCAGGTCGCGTGTTGTACGACGCGTGTCCACGTGCGAGCGCGATAAGATTGCCCGCTGCTTCCGCATTCGCCTCGAACATGTACAGTATGAAGCTGCGAGATACGCAAGTAGAAATGGAAATATCACCCGATGAATGTATGAGGACGTAGTTAGAAATAGGATGAAATTCAAATTACACGAATCATAGAAGACACGATGACAAAGATGCTGTTACTTACCAAGCGCTCTGATGCGACAGCGCAAGAGATTATCTACAACATCTCACAGAGCTACGGCTGCCGCGAGGATACCCGCAGCACCCATCATGACCATCGCAGTCGGGAGAGATCCAGCAGGTGCCAGACCAGTGCTCGGCGTCGAGGCGGCACCGGATTGAGACCTCGAAGGCGATGTCGCTCCTGTTCCTGATGCCGAGCCAGTAGGTGATGGCCCTCCAGTCGCTGAGGCTGATCCTGGAGAAGACGCACCAGTCGCGGTGACTAGTGCAACCACCTGATACGCCTCCATCTCCTGTATCTCGCTCTGCGACAAGACGCTTGTCGACGCGACCTGGTCGGCCTGGTCCGGGACGTATCCGCTCTGGGTAACGTCGCAGGTCAAGTCTGCCGTGGACATTGCGCCCTGCCAGCTGCAGGCCATATCCATTGTCCACGCGCCTGGAGTCGGGTCCGTGAGGTGCATCTCGTACGTCTCAGGGCCTTGTAGGATGGTATACGGCTCGCAGAAGGAGTAGTCCTCGTTGGAATCATCGTCCTGGCGGCGCATGCGAGGCGCGGGTGTAGGCGAGGGAGTCTCGGAGGGGTCGTCTGGGGTTGGTTCTGGCGGTGTTAGTGCAATCTCTCGCGACAGGTGCATGCCGTACGGAGATCAGACGGCACGACTGACACGCCGACTCCATCTGACGGACAGCTGTTCTCGTAGGTTGTTGCGCTCGCATCTGAACCGAGCACGGTGAGGGTGCTGTCGAATTGGAAGAAGTTGAGGATCGTCGCGGACTCTTGCGCAATGGCAGCGCCGGCGAGGAGCGGGATGTAGCTGGAGGGACGCATGTTGGATGACTGGCGACGGCTGATGGAGATGCACCGCTGTCACGGCGGACCAGGCTTGAAGTTATACATTTCCTACCTGTCGAAATCAATACTTCGTGGTGTTACCGACGCCACCATGCCTTGCAATGTTAGGCGACGAATCGCGGCCGCGGTGTGCCTGGCGGTGGTGATGATGCATCAGCAAATACGAGAGGCGGCGAGACGCGCTACCTGGATCTGTTGCTTCCTAAGCTCAGGGGCGCGCGTGGCTGAACTGTGATCGACTCATAATGACAGAGATGTTACGGTAGCATGGTGGCACTCTATCCGAGGAAAGACCAGACCCAGCCCTGGAGGTGTCTACATCGCTCCAGAATGTTGTTTGCTTCTTTTCCAGCCAATGTAGACTCTAGTGTAGTCGATTTGTTGCTTTTGGCATGAGGCGGTGGGAACAAGGGGAGTGTGATGATGAAGGGTGCCCAGGTGCGAGGTTGGGGTCGTGGCACGCATTAACCCGACTTCAACGCACCGCACTCATGTCACAACAGAGAAGATAGTGTGAGGGCTACGTAGCAGCTAAAATTTGGGCGTGCACGTGTGCAGTCATGTCGCAACATGTGTGGAAAAAGACGCCCACGTCCGTGAGGGGTGTCTTCATCGTTGGGCAAAAAGAAAGATATTTTGCAAATGGCAAAAAGAGACATTCCGACACCGGGAATAAACTTCCGGTACGAGAGGAGATCGAAGTTACAAGTGTTATATATCACCTACCAGTACTTCTTCACTCAGGTCGCTCAGTCACATTTCCACACACAGCGTTCACCCAGGCTGCTGGCACAGCAACGCCCGCAGCATGTGTCAAGATACCTCTTTATCCATAGCCATGAGTGTAAATCGGTAGAAGCATGGGTACATCTCGGCGAGGATATCGATGGCGGACTCAGTGCTGAGCACGTCGAGTACACGCTCTAGATCGTGGCTGGTAAGACTCGAGGCCGCCTCTTCTTTCCGGTACCTATATACTAACAATTCTCCGTCCTCCGCAACCCCGTATGAAAACGTCGATGCTGAAGCCCTGGAGAAACACCAGAGCTTTCTGCACCCTTCTAACCATCGCCCTGCCCTTTCCTACAAGCTCTGGAGAAACACCTTGCAATGGAGCAAGAAAAGGACAGGGCGATGGTTAGAAGGATGCAGACAGCTCTCTCTCTCGTTCCGTATCCTTAAGACATTGCCCAACACTAGCAACGATGGTGCTGTCAACAGCGAGCGAGTCGCTTTCGCCGCGCTCCGCGATAAGCTTACAAGGAAACAGCACGAGGTACATAACCGTGTCTTCGCGTACAACGTTGTTAGAAAAGAGAACGCTGGCTAAGAGGCGTTTCGGAGGCTCTTGAGTGAGGAGCAGCAAGCTGAACGTGGATGCTCATACGCGAGGATAGAGGCGACAAGGACGTTGCAAAGGGTACCCAAGTATGTGAAAAATGGAGGATACACCGGCGGGCTTACTGAATGCCGATATGCTCGCCTGTTTCTGGGTCGCGCTCCGCGCTATCGTGGTTTGATGTCGGACCGAGCATGTGAGAGGAGCTTACAGTGACAAGAGTACAGGTTTGCGGATGGGGCGGTACCTAGATAGTAAAGGATCAGGGCTGAATCACCGTGAAGGACGGAATAGACAAGGAGGTTAGCTTACAACAGATGTTCAGCTGTTGAACTCCGCCATCTTAGCATTGAAAGCTCCCGAGGTCGCGCAATGCGAAGTCCCCACTGTGAACCACACGGAGGTTTGCCTAGACATGAATTCAGTACCTACGATGAGGCGCCCTTCTTCTTGCCCTGTTGCGTCTTCTCAGCAACCTTGGGAGCAACACAGGGATGAGATTCTTGGTAGCCCCAGCGGCTCAGCGGCTGCTCTCGGGTCGACGTTGGTCATGACCGTTCCCTGAACCTCGATTTACTTCTCGGAATTCCGGGCAGAACTCGCCAGAAGGTTGATGCGTTTCGATGTTGCACTCCATCTCCTCAGCTTTTCGCAATTTCTCAGCTTGTTGCACCCTCTTTGGCGGTTTCTTGGCTCTTAGACCACGTTCTCGTTTGCGGGTGGAGGGTAGACTCTCTGGAGTTTGATTGTTGGCATTCTCTTGTCGATTGGAAGTAACAGTGGTCTATTAAGGTTGTACTTTCTTAACACTCCGGCATCTCGCGTTCGCCAGAGTGGAAGTTGCGGCAGCGACCGCATAATCGCCTGCGCTTTTCCCTCTTCTTCTTCTGCTTCATCCTCTCCTTCATCCCTTCTTTCTTCTTGCCAGTGTCCTCCTCGTCTGCGGATGCAGCTTCAGAAGGCGCTGGCGAAGGGTTCACACGCGTTGTCGCTTGATCTTTCTCGTAAATGCGGCGCAGGGCGCTCTTGATAGACAAGATCTCAGCCTTACCGACGCTCATGCATAGCGGAGCATGTTCGAAACCGCATGTCTACCAATAGGGATCGCCCTTTCCCTCCCATCGATGTAGCTCGTCGTCGTATGTTGTCTGCTCTTGTTGACCCTCCTCGTTGATTGTGGGCAGCGTAGACACTCATCTTCATTGCTTTGATGACTTAATCCTTGACCGCCTCGCTGCTGCTAACATCGAGTGTGTCGTCAATGTTGTTCCAAGCCTATTGAAAGGCGCGAGTAGTGGAGGAAAACATGTCGCTGACGTGTCGTGCAGTCGTATAGTTTGTGGTGCGGTTCGTTGCTGAGCAAAAGAGAAGAAAAATTGGTGCAACCTGAGACGGAGTATAGAGAAAGTGAAGGAGATCTGAAGATTGGCAAGCGATAGTGAGCCATCTCGTCGGTGGTCGTGGGAGTAAGTGCGCTAGTGATGGAGGCATTATACTATTAAAGTCCAGGCAGAGGCCATGTATCGTCCCCTTATAGAAAGTCATCGGAGCTCGCGGTGTTATGTATGCATCAGAAGAGTCGGGTCATCATCGAGCCACACGTACGGCCATGAAGTAGAGAGCGTCATGACACTGACGATTACCATGCGTCCATTGCTTTGTGTACATGTCAGTCATGAACCTGACGTGCAGTCGTATGCTGCATGATGAAGTCTTCCATTTCAACTGAACTTGAAGTGCACCCTGACTAACGTTACTTGGTGAATTGTCCGTCATGTCCACCTTCACCCCCATCGGCCGACCCTGATGTGTCTGTCTCCATCCTGCCCGCTGACTCTGATCGTTCTCCCTGCCCATAGTCCTCCCATTGATGTGTGTATCAGCGCCAGAGACGGCTAGAACATGCTTCGTGGCTGTGAGGTACGGTACGCGTGAGTCGCTAGAGAGAAGCGAGCCTCGTCGAAGATGCAGCCGCAGCGAGTAAATTGATCGAGGTAGGGCGCATGTAATTGGCGCCCTGAGCGGGTAAGAAGGAGCAAAGACGTAGTTCATGTTAGCGCTGCAAGGGAATGGAAGAGTGTTGAACGTACCAAAGGAGGCCTGCTACCGAGCTTCGCCATCTCAGCATCACAGCATGCTCAAAGCAGTGTGAAGTTCCCGCCATGAACCGCGCGGAGGTGTGGCTATGCTCACAGCTGGGTTTTTAACGAGGTTGGCCCATAGCCCCGGGTTATCAGCTTAGCGTTGCTGATTACCGTTGGCAGCGTCCCCATCCGGGGCCTTGCGCTTCTTGCCTTTCCCCTTCTGTGTGGAAGAGGACGCAGATGACTTGCCGAACATCTGGTTGAACATTTGCCCTGCTGCCTCCGCAGCCTTCGGGTCGGTCACTTGGCTAAACATAGCCTCGAACATCTCCAGGCGCTGCGGAGAGGGCTTGCATTTCTGCTGGGGGTAGTGCGACGTGCCGCACTTTTCACAGCTTGGCTTGTTGCACTCACCTATACAAAGTCAGTAAGTGTCTCATGCTCAGTCGTACGGGGATATCTCTCACCAAGATGAAACCCTTCGCACTTGTGGCAATAGGGTCGCTTGCCCTTACCCTTTGGCGCTGGCTCATCAGCTTCCGCTTCAGCCGGAGCCTCAGCGTCAGCAGGAACGCGGACCGCAGGAGTAGGAGCCCCAGCCGCCGAAGCAGCCGGACGGGGGGTTGCCGCAGGGACAGGCACAGGCTTGAGCTGCTCACGCTGGTAGGCAGCGAGCAGAGCTTGCTTGCACCGCCGAACCTCGTCTTCTCTCTTCGAGAGGCAAGCTCCCGCGTGTTTCTTCTGGCAGGTGGGGCAGGGTTTCCTACCCCCCTTGTCCCATGCGGCGAAGATAGCATCGTCACCTTCGCACTCAACTTTGCCTTCCGCGATGCGGTCAGCAAGGAGCGACCCCGGCTTCGATACTTTAGACCAGCTGATTTCACCCAGCACGGCCTTGTCTTTCAACAGTGCCTCAGTCTTGCGACCTCGGCGATTGGCAACTCGGACAGCCTTTTTAGGGGCGCCTTCGTTAGCCACTGTTGGGGGGTTTTGGCTGCCCTCCCCCTGGGGCTTTTCCGAGACGTCAGTCATTGTGAGATCCATTTTGTGCTATAGTGGTTAGCAAGCATGCCGCGGTCAAAGTAGAGCAAGATACGTACAATCTGAAAATTTGAGTTTCGGTGAAGAAGAAGTTCTGGGGTGCGCCTACCGTCAATGGACCTCGCTCCCACCCGCCAAGCCACGCTAAGCCTCCCGCGACACAACTTGCATCGTCATCACCGTCACCTGGGCCAGTTTCGCACTTTCGCACTCTTGACTCAAAGAACTGAGTGTCGTACTAGTGGAGGAGATGTGTCTAAATCTACACTCCTGGGCTGTATGTGGTGGGTACAACATGAGCGCCCCAACGCTTCATCGTAGAAGGAAATGATGTCACTGCATAAACATTGAAGTTGGGAAGGTCGCAGAAACACTTTATGAGAGTGTTTCGTTACTCAGAAGTATCAGAGAGGGATGACAGAGTTTGGTATACACTGACGTGCGGAGTGAAGAAGCGATGTGGATGAAATGCGATTTGTGTCCAGGCGTAACACCGCGTGGCGGACCCACACATCGTAACTGTGGAACTCCCTTACTCACCTTTGCCTGGATGTTGGCTCACTTTATTATGTTCAATATTATTCACTCTTCCACATACGACCATGCGAGCAATAGACCACTGTAGTGCAGTGGCCTATTAGGGTGATGCGAGTCCATGTAACTATAGGATAGTCATGGGATATGTTCGCGACGCAAGTCCATGAACTATAGGATAGTCATTGGATATGTTCGTTAGTAGCTTGGCCAGCGAACACTTACTGTTGTATGTTTTTGTTTTTGTTTTTGCTCTTATGTTGTAGGTGTCTGTTCGAGTCGTGGCTGTGATTTTGCTGTGTTTACCTTTTTGTCGGCTTCTCGTAGAGGCAAGAGCATATACCGTGTTTTTGTCTATCGCAATCGCACTCTAGCTAGGGATCTGTGTTGATCAAGGCTCTGTCGTCCGCACTCAGCCCGTTGTATTTGACCCCAGACTACGGCAACTCGTCCCTAAGACAGATGTTGCCGCTAATCTCGAATCTGTTCTTGTGCTTCTCGTCGCCCTAGTTCTTGTTGAAGCGCGTCGACGACACTACATCGCTCGAAGCATCGGAGCTATGGGAAGCGCTAGACATGTTCGAGGGTTAGGTAGGTCTGCAACACGTTGTTTGCATTGCCGAGTGAGTGGAAGTACCAGATATCTACAAGCTTCTTGGTGGATACGCAGTTGATCTAGGTCTTCTCGATGTGCTCGTTTCTGAACACCGGGGTACATGCAACTACTATCTTCTTCGCGCAGGCGTTCACGAAGGTCATAGAGCATCGAGAGAGTACGATGACAATTTTACCTATACCTTAAAGGACAGGACATTATGCGCGACAGTCACAGTCGCACTGGCATGCGTGACGACTACGGCAGCGGTATTTGCAACTACTGCAGCGGCTATAGCATGCCCGACACCTACAGCAAGATCGTACACGTATAAAAGCTCGATGTAGTAAGACCGTTAACTATCAGCCTCAAGAAGGAGGAAGAAGATGACGAAATGCCGAAAGATGTGGAGCCTACCAACCAATCCTGCATAGTCATTTGTAGGCTATCGTCAAATGCTGAGGGCGACGACAGTATCGATCGTCGCGTATCTGAAGGCACCACGATGGCAGATCGCCTGACGGCCAACTCCTCAACACCACACGTATTTGCTAAGGTATATTCGTTCTGCGGTGATTGAGCAAGCCGGGCGCGTACGAATCGGTTTAGAGAGAAAGATACGCTTAGTAAATGGCCACATGAGATGTGCGAGTGGTTCTGCGGTCGTACGAAGTCGCACATAACGATGCACATCCGGTTCGTTGACGATGGGCGTTATACAACTCAAGCAGGACCAATCAGATCGAACGGCCTTGTGTAGAAAGAGCCTTCGAAGGGCCTCGAGAGCGTAGACATGACTATAGTGATATCTACCGTCTCTTCGTCGTGGTTGCGAGGTTGTGCGTCATCTGGATGTCGTTGGGGACATTGCAACTTCCTCGGAGATGCATGGCACTAGTCTTTCAATCGGCTCTCACCGGATCTTCATTCGTCTCGCAAACACAATCTCGTGATCTCTCAATCCCAATAGCAAGACAATGAGGAAAACGTACATCAAAGCCCCCTCCGAATCCATTCACGATGCGCGGAGGCAAGCTCCTGCGCTTGCTTGCGGCTGGAGATGCCGGGCCCCTATTTGATAAAGATGCATCCGCTGTACTGGCTGCTGAAGAAGGCGACATCCAATCTTCAGTTGAGACTGAGCCGATGAATATATTCCGGGTTAGACTGCATGGCGATCTGGCGACTTGGCATCAAACAACAAGAGGTCGACCTCGAATACACCGATCGAGCCATACGTCAATCTGCCAGCGTGTCTAAGGGAGTGAACAAAATGGGTCGGATCTCATCGCAGACTTTGCTCATCTGGCAAGATATTTAAGCAGTAATCTCGTGGTCGTCCTGCACCCTCAGTAAGGGTCTCCATTTATAGGTATCGGTGCTAAAGCCGCCAATGGATCGGATGAGCGTTGACATGTGCGATTTTCGCATGAGCGCGATATCACCCGTGGACAACACCAGCCTGTTCATGTCATTCCCACCCGCTAAAACACGCTACTGAATTCATGGTGTGTTGCGGACTTGGTCGCAAGGGGTAGAGGGCTGGAAATGAGGACCACAAGTATAACTTCATGGATGCAAAAAGGTTCGACGAGTTCCGGTTTCTATTATGCGGCAAGAAGGTACATGTCACTACTATCGATGTTGACAGTGACCCAGATGCTGTGGCGCTCGAAGACGTAGCCGGAGATAAAGAATCGTACGCCAAACAGCTCGCCTGCTTCCGCTTCAATGTGTACGAGTTTGGAATTGGCATCCGCCTTCCGACGAGCTGTATTAAACAAGACGTACTCGAACCAGATGCTGTGTGGATCCAAGTCGGTAACGATCGTCAAGCAGGCTGACCACTCGTCCATGCGTTTAGCAGAGTAAGGAGCTACTGGGCAAGTATCGAGGGTGTCCTAGTTTGGCTGAGAAGGTACTGCGGCTGCTCGTACAGCCAATCATGTAATATCGACGGTTTGTTCGGCCGCGAAGGGTTCTATTCACCCAATCAGGCAAAAGACATCACTCTCGGGCTTTCCCGCACATCAAGCATGAACTTCACCCATGTCAGACAGTATCATCGATGTTGTCGCGCTCCGCGCGTATCCCAGCCAAACAACCCACCCGGAATCAGCGAGCCGGATCTTCAGCCTCCAGCGAGACATCGACGGGGCTGATGACAGGGCGAACGTTGGGTCTGCAAAACGGCTGTCGAGGCAACTCGCCAGTAGACGGGTCGTGCCTGCTGGCTATGGGAACAACAGATGAGTCAGAAGCATACCAGTCATCGTTGGTGGGGCAACGAGCAGAGAAGGGGGGTGGGAAGCTTTCTCAGAGCTTCGGTCGACTTCCTTCTGGACTCAAGCAGATAGAACACGGCTGCATGTAGTTCGACAGGACAAGCTGTGCGTACTACAGTGAAGTTCAGACGCCACTGTACATAACTAGTCACATTGGGGTAAGCACTTGGTAGGACCGACGGGATGATGCTTAGGCGCAGGGTGATCTGCCAACGTGTTGCGATCATTGTTACCTCTGATGGTAGCGTTGTGGATCGCAACATATTCGAGGATGCCGAGGAACTCTCTGTACTCCCGGCAAAAACATCCCACTGTTCAAACGGTTGAGAGATTCTCGAGATGAAAACTCAACATGTCCACCCAGGCGGTACTTCTGCTTCCGAGAGGACTTATTTAGATGCGTACTTATAGATTTTGGAAGTTGTGAGTCGCTCGTTGCACTGGGTTATCAGCAGTGCTATGCAATGAAGGTGACAGGACCAGAGTACGACTTCTTGCATACAGCGATGTGGCCAGACCTTGGATATCCGAGTCGATTTCAATTTGGAGGTATCGGTGCTGCTTGTGGCAAAATGCACAAAGGGCAAGTTACTAGACTCATGATGCTTAGCGGCTATTACTAGAGTCGACAGAAAGGTCGCTGCCTGGTTCAGGTACAGGACTATGTAGCTGCTTGGGTGGCGGTGATGTTGCGAATCCTCCAAACTCTGACCGCAAGATCAGGGCGATGAAAGATAGTACGAGCGAGGCGTACGATATCGGACCAGGAGATAGCAGTGGGCGTGGTACTTGTGATTTGCCATGTGCTCCGCCATGTGGCTAGACGTAATCTATTCTTCGGACGGGATGCTCGGTCTCGGGAGCGTTGCGTTCCAATGTAGAGCTGTCAACGATGCTCCTACTGCTAAGCCTCTGTTTGATCTTTTCAGGTATCGGAGCGGGGGTTCTAGGACCCGCCAGGGCAAAACAATCCGAAGCAGAGACAACAAAAGGGCTGCTACCGGGCTTGAGAATAGGCGACGCGACGTGGGTTGTCGTCATTGCTGGAGGGGGGAGAAGGCATGTCTTCTGGCGCAGGTGATGTCTTGGCAGAAGAGCGTCGCGAGGAGGATGGGGACATGTATGCGTGACGTGGAGCGAAGGATTTGCTCAGCTCAGGCAGCGGAGTGGGCTACCGAGAAAGAACTTTTGTTGAGGGCACGAGCATCGCGTCCAGCGTTCACGCCCTGCCGACATGCTTCCTTCAGTTTATGCTCCAGCCGTGCTATATCCGCTCTCGAAGCTGTTGTTGTACTCTCTCGCTTTGGGATAACGGTCGGTTCAGGGTCTTGACGAGGCGGTAATGCTTGCTCGTTCTGGTCGCCGTAGCAGCTCTCTCAAATCGGCGGGAGTAAGTCTTCTTCAGGTCTCCCTCCAAGAAGCGGAGGGTAGGCCCAACCGCTGGCAGTGGTGCTGGGGACCGTTTCGGCAGGGGGCCGCCTCGGCTTATGTCGACTTGCCTTTGGTGTCTTTCAAGTATATCCATCTCTACGGCCGTCCTCACACAAGCCGAAACTATGGTTGCCGCAGGAGCTATGTCGTTGAAAGGGAGCCAGCTGATCGTGCCACACTGCCACGACGTGTATGCGTTGCATCTCTAGCAGGATCGATACATCGGTCTGTCGATGCAAAGCGTCTGCGACATGATACAAAGCCTGACTGGTCCTTGAGTCCAACCCGGCCTTGTGTGACTGGAGATCAAGACCGTAGCAGTTACTTGTGATCGTGATAGCTTCGTATGAATGCAGCGTCTAGTAGAAACGTGGCAGTTGCGGGAGGTATGGCTCGTTGCGTAGATCATCACAGTACTACTGAGTGATTACAGGGTGTGCTTCCGAGTTGCGCGCCCATAGTGATATGCGGGAAAGGGAGCTGGATGGAGGGATCTTGTAGAATTGGTAGAAGCCGAGCTTCCGTGCGATACCGGTTGGACATGATATAGGCCGTGGTCTCATGATTGAAACTTCCGTATGCGGTCCTTCCTGTGCGAAGAGAACCACACCTTGAGGTCTTCTTGTGCGATGGCTCAAAGCTTGTGGTAGATCGCCGCTGCGAGTCGAGTAGCACGAGGTGTCGGTTCGATTGGTCTCGGGCCCGGGGCTGAATGAGTGTGTCAGTTCAAGGTCTGCAAATGTTAGCATGAGTACAGAATGTGGGCTACATCTAGCCAGCTTGCAAGACATACAGTATGTTGCATCTCGACGTCTATGTTATAAAGACCGTGGCGACTTCATGGCAGACATCTGAGAGAAGCATGCCGGTTTGTAGCGTAGTCGTCTGCTGACTGGTTGCCAGGCGTATGTGTTCATCTGCTTCTTCGACAACACGGCCATGAGCTATCCCAGTCTTAGCTATCGGCATTCGTCCGAGGTAATACAGGTCCATGGCTGTGTGCGTAGGGTCGTAGCCTGTGGTGAGCGATGTTGAGTGATGGCTGGATTAGACCCGCCGCGTCTTCCTCTACGGGTACGCCCGACTTGATTGTAAATGAGCAATTAGCAAAGGTGCAGAGTTGGGAGATGGAGATACTTCGTCTGTCTGGGAGACGAGATTGAGCGAGGCCCGCCCGACACACCTGTGTATCGGTCCTGTGTAGAACAGGCGCGTCATTCATCTCGGCGCTGTGGGTCGTGGAGGTATGGAGGTCCCCGGTTCCTCGTGGCATCCGCAACTGTTGCCGTTGGCGGCTTGCATAGTGGCTGGTGGTGGCGCAGTCGAGCGGACGTCTCTGGCAGCGAGTTGGCTACTTGCTCGATCCGAAGGGTGACGGGACTAGGATATGAGGCAGGGCATCGTAATGTTGGATGTGTCAATCAGAATCCTGCGGATCGTGCTTGATCCAATATGCAAAAGGCACGCTTGTTAGCAGAGGTTTCTGCAGGGACAGGAAGGTAGGGCTGCAGGGATGCGGATGCCCCACTTAGCCACGGGCGTGACCGCAAGCTCTGCGCTATGCGTGCTACCTGGTCGCAACGGCCACCTCAGAGTAGCTCGCCATGTCGCCATATCCTGCCACTGGATATCGCGTTCGTCGAATATCGCCTGCCATCAAGTATCGCCTACTATCGAGTATCGCCTACCATCGAGTATCGCCTGCCGTCGAACATCGCTTGCCATCGAACGTGAGTGTGGTACTCGCTCAGGAGGTCGGGAGAGAAAGCTGGTTGGGTTGAGGTTGCAATTCGGACTGTCTGACGTTGTGCAACATTAAAATAGTGTTAGCATGAGCATAGGAGCGTGCAGGAGCGTGTAGGAGGGAGGTCTGAAAGGGTACAAAGATGTCATTCTGATCGATTGTTGTGGGTCTGCGGAAGCTATGAAGGTGTGTATAGCATCGACCAGAGGCAAGCGTGAACGCAGCCAGCGGGTGAGCATCGATAGGCCAGCTAGGAAGGTGTGTAGCATCGACCAGAGGCAAGCGTGAACGCAGCCAGCGGGTGAGCATCGATAGGCCAGCTAGGAAGGTGTGTAGCATCGATCAGAGGCAAGCGTGAACGCAGCCAGCGGGTGAGCATCGATAGGCCCGCGAAAAGGCAGATGACAAGGAAGATCCTACCCAGCCCTCCTGAGGCCAGCGCGGACGCAGCCAGCAAGAGACCTGAGCATCGACGGATAAGAAGTAGGCGGAGATAAAGACAATCCTACCCAGCCCTCCTGAGGCCAGCGCGAACGCAGCCAGCAAGAGACCTGAGCATCGATGGATGAGAAGAGTGGAGGTAAGGACAATCCTACCCAGCCCTCCTGAGGCCAGCGCGAACGCAGCCAGCAAGAGACCTGAGCGTCGATGGATGAGAGTCTTCAGCGTCAACCCTGAGGCAAGCGGGAACGCAGCCAGCAGAATGAGCGTCGACGCACAAGAGATTTCGAAGGGCGGGTGTTACTCAAAGGCGAGCGGCATGTGGTGGTGGGAGAAGTCGTCATGGTGGCGGGGATGCAGGAGCTATGATGACATCGATGAGGTCGGCTTGAGCGTCGACAGAATGCCAGCGGCAGGAGCTATCCAACTTCGGTCATTCGAGACCTAGCACCGTGGGAGTTGTGGATGCAGGTGTGCTTGCCAAGGTTTACGAATGCCGCAATATTGAGTACTGCAGTGTCCAGCATATTCATCGACACTCTGCACTGATTTCTCCTAGACTGTAGAAGCATTTGGTCACTCCCGAGGTTCTGACGCATGATCCAAGCTACCTTCCGTGATGGGTATGCGCTATGAAGCCACGCAAGACACTACCGCTACAACAGTCTCAATTCCCATATGCAGCCCGCATGATGGGATATAAGAGTGTAGAAGGCGCGGTCCCGCATAGAGAGAGTTCTATGGAGACCTGACTTTGATAACGAATCTTGTGTTCGAGTGTTGTGGGTGGTCGTGCCTTCCCGTCCCAGCGTACTCCGTCATGCCACGCACCGCGCTAGCGCGTCGATGCCTTGAAGCACGATTGCGAGATGATTCCACTTCATCTACGCCTTTTTCGCCTTACAGCTAGGTATTGTCTGTCTACAGTTCACTGTAAGTATCTTGCATCACAATTACAGTTCGGAAGCTCATAACCTAGCAGGAAGCAAACTGCACTACAATGGCGAAAAGGAAGCGTGGAAAGCGGACGCCCAAGGCGCCAAAATCCGTTCGCGATGCGAAAAAGCGAGCTGACGCGCTTGCAGCTGAAAATGCCGGTTCCCGAGTTGGTAGCGATGCTGCCCGGGCTAGTGAGTCCCCAGGACCAGCTACCCAGGGAGACGACATACTTCCCTCAGTTGAGAACGGGCCTCTGACCGGGCTCGGGATCGAAGAGGAAGACGATTTGCTTTCGGGGCAAGAAGGAGCTCGCGGACCGGTGGAATGGACCGCGTCTCCTAGAGGCGATGACAGACTGTTGAACCAGACTGTCTCTCCTAGGTCTATCGCTGATCTCACGATCAATGAAGACAACATCGAGCGGGAAGAAGAAGAGGAAAACTCTTCGAGACAAGTCACATGGAGTCTCTCACCCAGTGAAACGGGCCGGTTCTTACCCTCGGATTCGCCATCGGAAGAAGGGGATGAAACCTTTCAACCGACTGGTGATTATTGTCTCGTCATCTGTCGCCAGTCTTCGCAGAAGCAGGAACCAGATCCAACGGGTAGAAGGTCCGCCCAACGAAGGTGGCGCGACTTTCGGCTACGTCGCGTGGTCGAGGGATACACCATGGCAGACCGCCTCGCACTCAACTGTCCAATGCCCGTTCAGTTCCTTGAGGTCGAGTCATACTGTGGAGTGTATCACAGCGAAACCAAGTTAAATTGGTTCAAGAAGGAGACGTCGGCTAGTGAATGGGTCAAGTCGATTCGCGGGTGGTTCCGCAATCACTCTGACAGCCATGTTACTTTGCTGATCCGTTCAGTGGATGGTAGGCAGACTTGCTCACGCGGACTATCCTGAGACATATGCTGACATCTTCATCTCTTAGGTCTGACCACCAACCATGACACCTTCCTGAGTTTCCTGGAAATGGTCGACCACTTCGGCGTGACTGCTGAGCTGGTATTCCAGATGAACAAGGTCTGCGATGAGATCAGACCAACGACATTGCTCCCGTTCCCTGGTCTCGGTAGTCTCGCGGAGTTTTCATCCCGGGACGTCCTTGACCACATGAAGGGTAACGTGTTTTTGCCGGAAGTGGAGAGGCTTCTTGACATCATCGTCTTCATCGGCAAAAGCAAGGCGCTATCGCAGGGCAATCAGGATCGCAATGAGCTCCCGGATGACGATTGCGAGTGTGCAGAAGAAGTCGAGCGCCTGGCAAGCGCCGCTGGTCGGAAGGGCAAGCCTCCAAAGGCGAAGCAGAAGAAAGGATAGGCTTGACAGCACGTTTGATCCGTCCTTCACCTGAAGATCAAGCTCATGGGTACGAGCGGCCGATGAAGCGAGACGTTGAAAAGTCCGTGGAGGCTCCCCTGGGACGAGTTCGCACCTTACCGCGATCCGGGGGTCCGGACAGAGCTCTGCTCTGTTCGCCAAGACGAACTCATTCACCTCAGGTATCTCCGCCTCTTTCCTCTCCCATCGTACTAACTTCGTTCTGCAGAGCCCTTGCGTTATATCAGCGTTACGAATTTGAGCTGCCGTTACCGCTCGTTTCACACCAGTCGCTTTCGGCATTATCTAACTCATGATCTAGATGCGGAGCTCATCGCGCCATTTGGTAGCCGTTACCTCCGCTGTGCTATCAGACATATAATGGGGCATGGCGGTATTCGGGAAGGTCGTCATTCGGGAAAGGCGTGACGGTTGTTGAGGCTGGACCTTGGTTGACGGGTTGATCAGAGCGTCTACGATACCATCATGTACCTTTTTGTCGCATACTAGCAACCGGGACTCGTCGAACTCGTTCGCATCGTTTAAACTGTTGCGCATTATGAAGACACTGATACAGTACCAGCCAGTAGGTTCTCCTTCTATCGGCAAAGCCTCATACTCCTCTTCTTTCTTCTCCCTCATGGTCCTCATTCACCCCTTGCGACAGTTACCCACCATGCTAACATGAGTCGATTCTCAGCGTCATCATACTGCTACTTTGCCGCAGTCCCTTAGCTAAGCACCTGCATTTCTCGTCCTGGAACGCGGCGGACGTCTCCATCACCCATGTCATCTTAGCACAATGGTTGTAGAGAGGCTTACTGGACGCATGCGACGAGGAGACATTGCCAATCAGTATGCACCGACCGTGCTATCTGTACCCGTCACACGGCTATCTTGTGGACGCAATCCTCGACGAGAAGGCGTTTGTATGCCAGTCAAAGCAGGGCATGGCGGACATTAACAGGCCGCGGCATCGACTTGAAGGAAGTTCTCAGCATGGAACTTGTCTTGCTTTCTCTCAGTGCCGCTTGCAGGCCGGCCGGCATTAACAGGCCACGGTATCGACTTGAAGAAAGTTCCCAGCCTGGAACTTGTCTTGCTTTCTCTCAGTGCCGCTTGCAGGCCGGCCGGCATTAACAGGCCACGGTATCGACTTGAAGAAAGTTCCCAGCATGGAACTTGCCTTGCTTTCTCTCAGTGCTGCTTGCAGGCCGGCCGGCATTAACAGGCCACAGTATCGACTTGAAGAAAGTTCCCAGCATGGAACTTGTCTTCCTTTCTCTCGTTGCTGCTCGCGGGCCGGCAGGCATCACACAGCCCGAACTGATCAACATCTTCATGGTCCCGCGAACGAAGAGGCGTCACATCCTTTCAGAGTGCGGGCCTCTTCTCTGCTCGCGGGCCGGCAGGCATCACACAGCCCGAACTGATCAACATCTTCATGGTCCCGCGAACGAAGAGGCGTCACATCCTTGCAGAGTGCGGGTCTCTTCTCTGCTCGCGGATCGGCAGGCATCACACAGCCCGAACTGATCAACGTCTTCCTGGGCCCTCTGCTCGCGGGTCGGCAGGCATCACACAGCCCGAACTGATCAACATCTTCCTGGGCCCTCTCCCATCTTTTTTCTTCCCTCATCTCCCCACAGGTCATCGAGGTCACTTTAGCAGCTCTTTCGCCTGCAAGTCTACCGTGGTCGTACGTCACGGCATCGCGAAGGATCGGCATCAGCGGAAATCTGTTTCACAACAATTCTAGACATATCGACTCCCAACCCTACCCAAACACAAGCGGAGACAACTACGACAGTATCCCCGCCGACCTCGATCTAACCGAACACAATATTCACAGCGCACAAGGCCATCCGTTCACCCGCCTCTATCCAACCGAACGGAACTATCACTACAGAAGGAAACGACCTCAAAAACCAAATAATACAGTATGTGCTCGTTTAGCATCGCGCACCACCTCGAGTATGATGCGCGAAGTTCCCACTCTGAACCGCGTGGAGGTAAAGCACTTTCAGAGCTGATTTTTTATCCAGGTTGACTCCTGCTGGGTGTTCATCCGGCGCCATTTTCTCTAGGACGATAGCAAACCAAGCCGAACTACCCACGACTCAGGCCCTCACTTTCGTCGCTTCTTTGGCTTTTCCAAAGGAGCAGGCGCATCCTTCGATTTGTTTTGCATTCTTTGTAGCAATGCCGCCGCATGAGGAGCGGCCGACGCATTGATTTGACTAGCAAATGCATTCCACAGACTCGGGTTCATACCTCCTTGTTCAGCGGCGGTACGGCCTTCGTCGAGGATCGGGACCCCATTCGCGGTCATCCGAGTATTCGGAGGGACGAAGGGTGCACCCGTACCAGGTGTCTCCGGTCGTCGGACCGTATCGACCTGGGGTGGTAGATATCCTACCTGTTCCCCAGAACCAACAGGAACGTCGAGTGTACGAGTCCTTAAGGTCAACTGGGTCTGCAAGGGAGACGGTTTCACCCAGTCAGCCTCGCCAGCCTTTTGTGAGGGAGACGGTTCCACCCGGTCAGCCTCACTGGCCTTTTGCATGCGTGCTCTGAGAGCTGCATTGTCGTTGACGTCGAGAGTGCCATCGTCGTCGTCGTCTGCCCACGATGTTGGCGGAATCATGATGGTGTAGGAGCTTCGTATTGTAGCGATACTACGGATCAGTGAGTGTGGGTTGAGATCAAGATCAAGAACAAGTATCGAGTGTTGATGGTAAAGGCCGCACGGCTAGCGTGGTGTCCGTGCACGTCAGCCTACCCAAGTATACACTGCAAACGGGCCTGGATATCCAAGACAACACTTTGAAGTATCGTTGGACAATGGCATACTTAGGAGCTTGGCGGTATGTTAGCAGGGCTCATCAACGGCGGAATGGTCGTTATCGATTCTCCATCCCCGGCTACGTCTTCGACCGCCACTGCATTAAGGTCATTGTTAACATTAACAGTATCAACATGCGCAAGTCCATCTTCGAGAGACACTAGTACGACCTCTACGGCATTACTAGACAGGTTAATAGCAGCAGCGCGCTTATTAGTCACAAGTACGTCGCCCGCACTCGGAGCAACAGCTCGAGATGGACGACCCAGACTACACTACTCAGCCCCATGCGTGCGCGACGGACAGTAGGAGGTTATCTGACCCGGCCTTGGTGAGGTGCTTGCAGGGCGCCCGCTCCGTCAGCGGCTCAGCACCGAGCCTGCCATTGATACCCTCGCCGAGATGTACCAACGCTTCTACGAGTGTATAGAGCAAATTGGCCGTAAGTGCCCTCTGCTGCGCTTTATGCTGTTGTCTGCCCCACTACAGCTCAAGCGGCCTTCTTCATACTGCGAGCGCGGCACCGGCAATTAACACTAACCGACTAAGAAGCTGTGGAAACCTGGAATCGTTTTGAAGATTGTTGAACAGGGTTGACATATGGAGCCGGCGAGCGCGTAAGCGGAGCAGATTGAGAGGACTGCTATCACCAGGGCTTCCTAGCGCAGCCTTCCTCAAATCCCCTGCAAGTCGGGGACAATACGCTAAATATTGTTCAGGTATGCAGTCGAGCGGCACTGTCATGTTCACATGAGACCGAATGAGGGTACCTAGGTAGTACGCGAAGCGAAGGAAGTAAACTGAGCAGGCACACATGATCTTTTGGTAGATTCGGAAGGCATCGTCTGGTCTCTTGAGGCCACTCTGCGAATCTGAGATGTCTCATAGGCTTCCTTGGCCAACCTTCGATTCGATCTTAGTGGCAGTACAGCAGCAGGGGCCATCAACAGCAGAACGCTCGCTAGCAACAACCTTCGATCCGATCTCAGCAGCACTTATCGCTCCCACTAGACCCGAGCCTCAACACTGGCCTTAGGTCTTTGCTACAACGGAGCCCTCCTGTAAATATCACAACTGCGTAGGCAGCAGCGAGCGCCAAAGGTACTGCGCCATACTTAGCTCTTCTCCATTCATCTCTCAGCTGCTTCAACTCTGGCATCGTGTCGCGGTCCTCCTGATTGCCCAGCAGAATCATCGGTGTCACGGACTAAGGTCGATACAAACGAAGACTTGGGAAAGAAATGAGAAGGATCATCGTCACCGCGTCCGGTTGGTGATATGAAGGAGCCACTCATTGAGCGTACAAATCAATAACCAGCGGCATAATAGCCAGGACATGACGGAATACTGCACTTCGCCGCCCTCGCCCGCGGCAGCTCGCCCCTTGCCGGCAGGCGTGGCCTTTACCGATGTCCCAGACGCAACCTCAAGTCAACAAGACCTCGAGGTCAATCGGTCTCGCCCCGTGGCCGCGGCGGCTCCCCCCTCACCCATGTACACACATGTGCGCCCAAGTTCGACAGTGTATTATACTTGAGATTTCTCTCATTCGTGAGAGTATCTTTTCGTCAAGGTCGTCGATGTTGCGGAAGTCGTGGCGTCATCGCAGTACCATGGGATGAAGTGGATGGCAACCAAGAGATGGAATCGCACACAGGTGTGAGTTCGATCTACACGACGACGACTCTTCTGGGCGGGCAGTTCATCTCCTCGGCTTTTCATAATTTCTCTGCCTGGCGCACTCTCTCTGGCGGCTTCTTGGCTCTTGGACCACGTCTTCGTCTGCGGGTGGAAGGCAAAACCCTTTGCCTGGTGCACTCTCTCTGAGACCCCAAGCCCAACCCGCAACGGCGACCCAGCCACTATGGATCGGTATCACCAGTACGGAACACGAGTCAAGTTAAAGGATGATGAGGCTCGGGGTCTGGGTGCCGATAAAGCATGGGCAAGCGCTCGCGGAGCGCGTGGCTTCTTGCCTATTGGACCACGTTTGCGTTTGCCAGTGGCAGGCGAGACCCCTTGAGTCTTCTGTTCTGGAGAGCCGCAGTGCGCGTCATCAAGTAGTCTTCGAATCAGAGACGCTGGTCCCCGTGGAGGCATTGCAGCAACGGCGGCTACACATCCGACATATTTAGTCTTCGTCAAGATTGGTGAA